ATTTATGAGGCTAGATTATCTCCGCTGATGGTGTACCTATGGTAGGCTTCAGTATTATCACTGAAATCATGAATCAATCATTGTTAGACTACCAGTAAAAACCTAGAAGCGCTGAACAGCCATTTCGTACGCGAATCATCGGCAGTGCACATCCACGACTCCTGCAGGATTCGCACCTAAGAACGTCGAACCTCTGGACCACTGGGTTGGCATCCAATGATGTTAATGTCTAACTCCGATCATTTTAAATAGATTCAAATAACTAGTATACATTAAAAACAGCATCTTTTGAAATATCATACATAATAAGAGTTATATATATATATATATATAAATATATATACTTATTGATTTCTTTCCTTACTTAGTCAAAGAAGAAAACCAAACCTAAATCGCGAATCACACAGATGAGATCATGTAATAAAAAGGTAACTAAATCACCGGTGTTTAACCCTGTATATTAAAAATGAATCGATTTTCCATTATCAATAAAACAAACTCTTGTTCAATGCCTACTAGTTAGTGTTCAATATTTTTCTCTGACTAAAATTAGTCTGATCGAATTTACATAAACAAAATTTTAGTGAATTTATTAAAAACATAAGAAAAAGAATTCTTCACTGAAATCGTCAGTAAACTCTCTTCGTAAGGCTATTTTGGGATTATTCAAATATTTGAGCGTTGAATAATCATGGAGAACTTTTGCTCATCAATGAATATCTTAATGTTCATTTAAGAAAGATAAATATCAATCAGCTTATTTCATTACTTATGTAAAAAGATGTTTTCTTAACCATAAACTATCCATTTATATTAGCTATTAACAAGAACTGACAAATATGTTCATTCCTACGCGATACTTTTGACAAACACTATTAAAAGCCGTTTTCACAAAAATGCTTAACAAATGACTTATTGTCCTAGTATTTCAGTCAGTCAGTTAGCAACACTAACACAGAACTTGGTACGTACATACAACAGTGTTCAAGTTGTCATACCACACATATTCTATAGCACAGAGACGCAATGGTCTATTCAAATTCCATACAATAAATAGATAGTTGAGATATAGTAGAAGTATGACCAGTAATCAGAAAGATTAGAGGTTATTTAAGTAGTATAATCTAGTGTTTACAAAATTTTATTAATTTTAGGAAACAAAACCTAAAAAGAAAAAATCAAAAAGTCATTGTGGTGTAAGTTTTTTCAGTATATTATTTTTTATATAAATAAATAAAAATTATATCATGTCATGATAGATTGGTGCTATTCAAGGTGTACGCGTTGCTGAAACATGTCATAGTGGAAAATAAACCATTCACTCATTCATTCGCACATGATTTCTTAAGTTTTTAATTGTTGTCGGTCACTGAATGTTGTTTTATTTCCTCGTATTCTTCAAACTGATGAATTAATACTAAATATGATAATATCGATTTATTTTAAGTTGAATAAAAAAGCAGTTGTTGTACATGCATTCTGTTATTTAATCTCACAAGTTGGATTTTATTGGTAAATTGAATCTTCCGATTGATAGTCTGGACAGTGACCGATCACTGTTATTTTGGTATTTGTGTATTCTGTGTGGATTGGCCAGTAATGGAGTGAGATTGGTCAACTGAAGTCTTAACTATCAATATGAAGATTCAGACTATCAATACAAATGAATTAAACTTCACCCGATTGCACAAGCTAGTGGCACTCTGGGTTCAGTAGCTAAGTGGATAACGTAAAGACGTCTGAGGCAAACGGTTCTGAGTTCGAGTTCCGGGATGAACATCAACTCTGAGTTGCAGACATATCTAATTGACGAGTCACAAATAGGAAGAAAAGCGCATCCACTGCTAGCCACCATCTATCTCTGCTTATAAAGTATGACTGTCTTCACAGTTAAACGTTTTATACAACTTGTAGATATGAAATAGATTGAATTTTAAAACTACTGCTACATTTTAAAATATGAAAAGACTAAACAAATAAGTCGATTACTTTTTTTGCATTTATTTCTTCTTACGATTCTTTAAAGTTATGAATCAGTCATTTATAGATCACCATTGGAAACCTGGAAGCGCTGAACGACTGTTTCCTTCTAGTTTGGGACTCACCAGCAGTGCGTCTCCACGGCTAACACTGAAAGCAGGAGTCGGATCTTCGGACTTGTGAGCGAATAATGGACCTCTTGGTCACTAAGACGGTATTAAATGGTGTTAATTTCCAACTCTAATCAACCCAAGGCATTGAGCAAGGTCACTCATTGTCTATCGTAGTTACTGCATACACTTGACAAGGTTGAACTCCACTGGTCATGGCTGTTCACTAGGACTCCTCGAATTTCCTCATGAAGCTAGCCACTAGTGAGCTTCCAGATTTCTAATGGTGGTCTAACAACGACTGATTCATAACTTCAATGAAACTCAATACTCTCTATAGCTCTATAATAAGAAAGTATCCGATTCTGTTGTAAAGAATGTTCTGCGATTGTGAATATCTCTTAATCAGTTAAGGGGCGCTTATTGCAAACATGAAGCTTAGTAACTTAGAATCACAGTGCACTTTAATGAATAGCTTTTAACTGCATATTAATAACTAAAAAGATACGTCTAAACAGAGCCACAGGGTCTTCTAAAATTCTACTTGCCACTGTAGACTGCACAATTCCAACAGTTTTACCACCCTAACTAAAAAACTTATACTTCCGATCTACTCCATTATGAAAAATATATGTAGCTATTCTACTAACCAATTTTGTTTTCAAAACTTATCCAGCCTTATGTACATCGTTTTACCACACTACTTCGTGACAAAGTTTGTCCTGTTTGTGGTACTTATGTAAGTTTTGAGTAGTTGGTCTGCATTGAAACTTCTAGTAATGTGCACTTATGTTTCTTGTGTGCAATTCGGTGACAGATGTATAGTATGTGTAAAATTTTTGTAAACTTGTGAAAAAAATGCACAACTGCACCAGTAACAACGTCCTTTATATTATTTTAAATGCATGTGTGATTGTTAGAGTAAACTTTGGTTTTATTCATATCAATATCGCTTTATTCCTTTTTGGTCTATTCCCTAATCCTCTTCCAGTTACGTGCATTTACATGTTCTTCTTTTCAAAATTGACACAAACTATCTGATAAATGTCTTTTTTTGTAAACACTATGTTCTTTTGATTTATGCTTTAATGAGTATACTACTAGGAAAGTTTTTGAGTAGTTTGATATAAATTCATAAATATATTGAGTGGTTATTGTAAAAATAATTGCAATTGTTGACAAATTCACGACTTTTCTCAAAGGAAATCCAACTGATGATAGCTGAATTCAAATATGAAACAGTTACGAGATTTTACAGCATTTTATGGAAAGTGTTCACGAGTTAAATGTGGAAGTTTTACGATAGAATTGGTGAAACACACTTCAAAATAATAATTCAATTTTGAACATATGTACCACCAAACATTTTGAACATTGAATTTGAAAAGCCCTTTATTATTTCCATAATTGTGGATAATTTCAAAAGCTGACAAAAACAGAAATCGTCTTCCACATCACTCGTTGAAAAAACTAACTACACTGACGCAAAATCTCAATACACACCGACAATTATGGACATACATTCGACTGGAACAATGTGAAAGTACTGGATATGAGCAGGACAAAGAACACTACAGAATTTATAGAAGCTTGGCACTCAGGTCAATCAGCAATCAACAAACACATCGACATTGACCCAATTTATCAACCAATCAAAAAAATCATGGGTGACATAGTATCAAGAAACAGATCAAAATGGAGATGGCAATCAAAACAAAGGTGCAAACAACGACAGATATAAAGTCAACAGCAACCAATCAAGATCGAGGTTAGCAGAACAAGCTACAGGTCAAACGTAAAGAAATTCGAATGCTACACATCTATCTGAAGTTTGTGCTGATGATGTTGTTCAGAAGAACAACCAAAACATCCAGCTCAGAGTAGGAAACACCACCACAATCATCCGCCTGAGCTACAAATTTTCTCCACCATCTCAGAATGTTAAACTGATTTTAAATTTCACACACACTAAATATAATAATTGTGCTTTAAATATCATCAGTAAGAACCTGTGGTCAGTGGAGTTGTAATACCTTTAGTATGAGGCCGTTAGGCATCAAGTAAATCGGAAATTTGTTTGCTCAATATTGCGAAATTATCGAAACTAAACACCTCAGACATTAGATACCATCTTAGTGATCTGAAGCTCAAGCGTTCATGCATAATACCGACAGTTTCATTTTAGGTTCTTGATATTGCAATCGTGGATGCGAACTGCTCAAAAAAGAAATACAACTGTTCAGTACTCCCTGGTTTTCAAAATATATCTATCGTGATATTCACTATGAACTTAAAAATTCTCCATAAACCCAAAACCAGTAACAGAGAATAAATGTTTTTATCAATTAGAGTTAAGGTGCTTAATGTTTTTACACATTTGAAATCATCAGTCAATCATTGTTCGACCACTATTGGAAACCTGGAAGCATAGAAAGACAGCCGTTTTGTCCTTGTATGGGACTCATCAGCAGTGCGCAGCAGCCTCGCAGGATTCGAACAAACGGCCTTAGGTCTTGTGCGCAAACGCCTAAACTCGGGACCACTTGGCCGGCACCCAACAGCGTTAATGTTTTTTTTGTGGGAAACTATTTGTCAAATAAATTGACATTAAAATGGAATAATCTACCGAAACAGGAAAACAATGAGTGGCACATTTTGATAGTTTGTTTTACATTTTAGTCATAGATTGTAGTTTGGTTTGCAAGTCGTGGTGCAAATAGAGTTTTTAGTTTGCAATATATATATATATATATATATATATATGTTTTACACATCTGATTCAATTTTCTTCAAGACATCCTTATCTTTCTACACTGAGTTTAAACATTTTATATCTACTAAGAGACTTCGAAAATTGATATTTGATTTCTATAATTACTGTTTGCTGCATTTCATTGTTTTCTGTCACTTCTTAGATGTGTTTTAGGGATGTAAAACTAACTACTGAAGAATCATCTAAATCAAGAAAGCACACATCGAACAAGTTGAAGTCTAAAAGATCATTTCAAGTAAGACAGAATGTTTTTCAAAAACTCTCTGTCAAAGCAGTTGACATTGACATGGAATGAGCGACAAATAGAATCAACAAAACAATCAATGAGACTTTTGAAGAGTTAAAGTTGATTATACTTTTTAATTTTTGAGAAAAAAAGTTTGTTTTGTTACAAGAGAATTAATTTTTTCGTACCACGTTTCAGAAATACGCAGCATAGGATTAAATCATTCGTAATACTGTTTCCGATAATTACTTATTTACCTTCGCCTGTTTTACCCCCCAAAGGAGCATAGTTCACTGACCAGCGTTCTCTAGATTACTCTGTCCTAAGCCATCCTTTCCAGTTAAGAACAATTTTTGTTTATTCTTTTCGTATCTGTCTCGATTTCTTGGCGTAATGTATTCCTTGGCCTTCTTCTTTTCTTTCGACCCTAAGGATTCCAAGTGAGTGCTTTCGCAGTGTGTGTCCTGTCCACATTCTGCGCTTCTTCCTTATTTTTTCTTCTGCTGGAATCTAACTTGTTCTCTCTCACAGTACGTTGTTGCTGATAACGCCTGACTAACGGATCCTCGTGAACAAAGCATCTTGCATTGACAACTGTTACTGAACACTTGTATCTTATGAATGACAGCTTCCATGGTTCTCCAAGTTTTCGCTTCATACAGTAGAACTGCCTAGACATTTGTATAGAGAATTCTAGCTTTGATGTTTGTTGATAGTTGCTTTGAGTTCCAGACGTTGTTCAGTTATAGAAATGCAATCCGGATATAGAAGGATCGGATGGCTTTTGTCAACTTGCGTCACTTATAGTGTAGGCAAAATATCCGTTTGCTAACCAAACGACAAGTCTTCTGTGCATTAGTTCACTCCGTCCTAATAAATGGATGCGAAACATAGCGAGTACGAGTTGAGGATATCCATAGGCTATTAATGCTCGATTATAGATGTCGTCGTAGCATTGCTCGTGTAAGCAATCTTGTCGTTAGCAAACAAGTACTAGGTAGGGATGGAAAATCAATAAATAGATGGGGTAGTGAGACTTCATCACTTGAGGTGGTTGGGACATGTGTTACGTATGCCCGACCACCGACTGCTGCGACGAGCTTTGTTTTGTGGTGTAGGAGTAGGTTGGAAGAAAGCTAGGGGTGGCCAAAACAAAACATGGCACAAATCCATGAAATGACTGACAAGTGGACTGAGTCTTGTTGGTAGATGTAGACGATAGTAATCAAAGGTTAGAGACCTTGAACGACATGGCTCAAAATCGCTTGCAATGGCACAAGTGCATCCATTGTTTGTCTGTTCTCAAATTCTACCTGAATTGATCATAACCTTCATCTTTCTCTTTCTTAATTTATTTTACTGTATTGTACTTCTTATGAATATTATCTTCGAACCCTAATCTTTTCAATTACCAGTAATACTTCAACTATCTCTACCACTATGGGATTTGAACTGACAGTTGCGTCTCTGTGCTAGTGTTTTATTGCAACCTGAACTTATGTACGTACGTACGGAGTCCTACGTTGTAACTAACTGATTGACTGACTGACTGACTGACATACTACAAATGATTCAGCCATCGGAATGAAATAATTGGTTTTGCTTTTTAGCCGTAGATTGTATTTGGATTTACAATACTAACAATAGAGTTTTTAGTTTGGTTTATATGTTTTAAACATTTGATTCAGTTTTCTTCTGAAAATATCCTTATCTTTCTACGCTTAGTTAAGTCTTTCAGACTCTAGAAGTGGATCTTTAATTTATATAACTGTGTACTGTATTTCCTTGTTCTCTGTCACTTAGATCTGTTGTAGGGATATGAATGGGACTGAAGATTCATCTAAATCAAGAAAACAGACACCGAACAAGTCGGAATCTAAAAGATCATATCAAGTAAGGTAGAATTTTATAAACTTCATATTTTTTTCATACTTCTTTTCAGATCACACAATATAAATGTGGTTGAGTTGATGAGTTGATCTAGCCACCTATGCAAATTCATAGTATTTTGGCGATTAAAATAGCCTTATTAGTACAGCGTTATCAAGGTTTTCGAATTGAATTTTGATATGGCTAGTTGATCTAAGTTAGACCCAAGGACTCCGCATCGATTCACATCCACAACCCTATTATCAGAAATAAAATCCGGTAATTTCAGTCTCTCTCTCTCTCTGTCAAACAATTAATCTGTAGACCAATGAGTCAGGATGCGATTAAACAAAAGTCGGAATTACTGATCACTTACTATAATTTTATATTTATACCATTCTTAACTGTTGTGAGCTGGGCGGTGTTTAGTAGTTTTTTTCTTCTAGATACTAAATGTCTCTTCGTCCAAATCAGTTTAGAATACCTTGATCTTTTGTTAGGATATTCATCCATTATCTTAAGAGAATTATTTGTAAGTCTAGTCCTATTGGTTAATTCCTATTTGTGATCTTAAATATCAGTGTCACGTACTTCAATGTTGTTTCCCAATCGACCTAACTGTGTAAAAATGCATCATCTATAACGTTTTATGTTACCCGGATCCTTAGTCCGGGATCCATGTCGTCTTCTGGACTCGGACCTCGTACTTTCTGGATGCTTGTAGAATACGCGTTCTATTTCATCATCAAATCTTCTTCTTTTACTCAATGGGGGTTTTTGACAATCGGATTAGAGTAGCACGTCATGTCGCCGGACTATTGATCCTTACGCTCTCGTTTTCCGACTAAGGTTAACTCGTATTAGTAGTTCAAGCATATCAAAATGACGTGTTTACGTGCATGCGTAACGTCTTTTTCACAGGGAACCTGTAAAAAAACTTTGACCGTTATTAAATAGATGAAGAAAAATAGACCAGCGTTAACAGCTCAACATTATTGTCAACCGCATGCGGAGTAAATATACACTGAAACATATGGAAAATTAATCCATGCATTTAATCATCTCACTTCTGCTGTAATGAAGGAGAGCACAGGTGGAGCAACCGGATTATATTTAACCAAAATTACAGAGTTACTCAGTAAAATCGGAAAACCATATCGTAAATCGTTAATTTGCAAAATATCAGTTCATCATATCGAACTGGACTGTTCCTGTTGCCAAACATCAATCCATTGTCACTATTCATGCGTTTCATACAAATTCCATTGTGTTCGCGCTCTTCCTTTCTTGATCTTCACCCATCTTCTGCTGCCAGACATTACGTTGAAGCTCACGTCATATACTACTTATAAGTAGCTTGCACCACACTGAAAATACTCACTATAAAAACTAATGATATCCTCTTTATTATTGATAAATTACAATAAATGATTTTATAAAGAATAGTATGGATGACATTATTACCCAATGTGATCTTCCATTTTTTAAATAATTTTTGTACCATATAAATATATATATATATATATATATATATATATATATATATAAATATTATTAATCATGTACTTAGAAGGATCACAACCATTATGGAACATTGTCAAGAAATCACCTCAATTGCTTCGGCTCAAATGAAATTCTTTCCCTCAAAAGAAGTTACACGAATTCAAGTTCAACCTTTAGCAATCATACGGAACAAGGTAGTGTGTTGTTAGAAGTATGCTTTTGGTGCAGAGTTGTTTACTGGTCTTCGATTCAGACTCCAATTTGTAGGAATCAGTGAATATGCAAAAGGAATAAATTTTTTATTTGATATTAACCTATTTAGGATAGCTGCGTATATGTGACAGTGGTAATTAAAAGAAAGTCGGATAGGGTTTAGTTTGAATGAGTTTATTTCATACAATCTCGGTAAACAAACGGATTTAAGAATGAGTAACGTAAAA